ATATATATAGATGGCGAATATATATATATATATTTTCAGTAACTCAAGGGTCTAAACTTATACATGCTAATATGAACGAAATCGAACGAATAGTTTGAAAAAAAAATCGTTCATTTAAAAATATGATTTCTTATTAACTATACCAATGATATCGTTTAAATTTTGCATTTTTTTTTTCGATTTAATACTACATTCTTTGAAAAATGACGCAAACATTTGTGTATATTGTATATCAAAATTCAATTGATTCAAGGATCTGGTAACTTAGACTTTTTCAGTAACTCAAGGGTCTAACCTTTTGTATGTTAATATTAACGAAATCGAACGAATAGTTTAAAAGAAATCGTGCATTTAAAATATGATTTCTCATTAACTATACCAATGATTTCGTCAAAATGTTGAATTTTTTTTTAAAATTAAAACTGCATTCTTTGAAAAAATTATGCAAATAATTATGTTTATTGCATATCAAAATTTTCTGACTATTTTTAAATAAAATAACAATGACTTAATAATTCTGTTTATTTTATTTTTATTTTATTTTTTTTGCAATGAATTTTTTTTGGATAAACGAATTTTATAATTGTGAGATATATATTATTCGTTCTGTTATAAAAATGAGACAATTATAATTGACAATTTATTGATGTTTTTTTTTTATCTATTTCCCTTAACTATTTATTAGTCGCTTTAAATAAAAAAAACTGATTTGCTTTTATGAGAAACATTGTCTTTCGAATTATATTTTAATATCTTATCAGAAGAAAAATAGAATTATAAAATTCTCTAGACTATTTTTCTGATAATTATTTTTTTAACTGTTCTAGAATCAGAGATAGCGAGTTATCTTTTTATGACATAAAGGAATTTATTTCTTCTTTTATTTTCCAATTTTGTAGTTATCGTTTACGCGAGGGAAAAAAATAGTTTTCTTTCCTTTTTTTTTAAGTAAATAAATTTTTTTACGAGACTACGCTCGTGATTTTTAATATTACTTTGTTCTAAACGCTTAAAAATAGATAAATCATTAAGTTCTAAATTAAGAATTTCTTCAATTCTCCAAAAAACGTTTAAATTTTTATAACTAAATTTTTCTCCTTTGTAGAGCTTTTTTCTCCTCATAAAGTTATGCTGAAATATTTTATAAGATAATAACTGACTGTAAAAGAGATTTATTTGTCTAAATTTAATTTGACTAGAATTTTTGGTGGGTTGCTTTCCACTCTAAGGAATTGGTCACGGAGTTCTGTCCTTATTAGATACTGAATAGTCCAGGGATGGCGAACCAATGGCACGCGTGCCATTTATGGCACCCGAAACAATATTTTGGGCACGCCACCAATCACATTTGTTATTACACTATGAATTGTTATTACACAAATGTTATTACACTATGAAGCATATGTAACAATTAAATTAAAATTCACAAAAAGCTCACAAAATAATAAACAATTATTAATACAAAAATTAACAATGCTAAAAAACAACTAATGACCATAAAAAACAAGCTAACAATAAATAACTAGCAAAACAATTAACAGTCCTGCTTAAACTAACATCTTGCAACCTAATCTAAGTTATTTGTCATCTAATCTGTAACAACAGAAGTCGCACTGATGTTACTATACGTTGAATAACGCGTATAACTGAGACATTGCAAAATGTTTTTTTTCAATGTAAATAACGAGTTTTGAGTTGATAGTATTTAGTATTATTATTTTCCCAATAATCACGAAGTCAAAACTATTTGACGGCACGTCTATGACCTCATTAAACAATTTTTTAGAAAAAAAAGGGCACGTTGGTGTATAAAGGTTCGCCACCCCTGGAATAGTCGAACTGTATTTATAAAAGCAATGAGAAAGGAAAGAATGCATAAGAGAAAATGTTGTCCTCGCATCTTGACTGCTTCTTTCTTTTTAGGTTTGGACGCAAGAAACTAGCTTCCAATCAGCAATAAAAAATTTATGTTGTTGGTGGAAGGGCGTTATAGAAAACTAATCAACCCGTAAGTTGATAATGCAACTGAAAAATATGCTTCATTTGGATTCAAAATATGGCCATTTGAGAAAATGTAGTAAAAGCCTCTCAAAAATTAATTGACCTAAAATAACATTTTAATTTTGTATTTAAAAATTATGATTTTAAACAAGTTAGACAGAGAGATTATTTATGGCTCGAAGAGTTCTATGAATTTTAAATTTAGATTGATAGTGCGTTTTATGAACTGACGATTTTTTCCATTTTCACTATTAGTTCACACTATATATGGTTCAAATTTTCAATCGTTACTGAAATATTTTTTATTCGTCCACTCTAGTTAAAATAAATTTTTTTAAACTTGTTGTGGATAACTCTTGATGCTAATTCAGTTGTTTTCAAATATTAATTGAATAGGGAGGAGCGAAAAACGAAATGGAATTTTCTGATGGGTTACGCGTTCGTTAGTCATTGTTTTAAATTTTACCATAAGTAATTCAGTTTTTCACATTTGAACAAAAAAAATAGTTTATAGCGCGCATTTAGATATTTAATCTATATATATATATTTCTCTTACACGGCGACAAAAAAAAGGCTCATTACAACCCCCCGAATGGCAACGCTAGAAAATCGACCCATGATTGCTGCTAAAAATGCCACATGCCAAATCCAGTTGAGGTGGCTCAACATATAGCGCTTTCGAAAACGGAAACTGAAATAACAATTCAGCCGTGGCAATCTCATACTATTAAGCTAGGCAGAAGTGAGTAGTCTTTGTCGACAGATCTCTATTTTAGTATTTTGTCAAAAGCGCTTTCTTTCACGAATTTATATATTACGAATTTATTTGACGATTTTTGATTTATATCACGAATTTATTTGTTTTATTATTGTTATTAGTTACTCATTGAAAAATGAGTCTCAGTCACAGAGTCTTTATTTGAATTCAAATTTATTTTAATGACTTAGTATTTACTAAAAAGATGTAATTTTTTTTT